TGGCTTCCTCTGTGGTGTCCTCCCATGTACTCCATTCTTGTTTAATGTTTTCCTTATCGTAGATGTGTCAACAAAAATGTTAGCATGTGCCAGAGATTTCTGTAGGTCTTTAGCTGACACTCTGGGATTCTTCTTTACCTCATGCAGCATTCTGCGCTGTGCTCTTGCAGTCATTTTTACAGGACAACCACGCCTAGGGAGAGTAGCAACAGTGCTAAACTTTCTCCATTTGTAGACAGTTTGTCTTACCATGGACACGTGAACATCAAGGCTTTTGGAGATACTTTTGTAACCCTTTCCAGCTTCATGCAAGTCAACAATTCTTGATCGTAGGTCTTCTGAGAGCTCTTTTCTGCGAGGCATGGTTCACATCAGACAGTGCTTCTTGAAACCAGTAAACCCAAAACAGGTGTGTGTTTTTTAAGGGCAGGACAGCTGTCAGCAACACATCCAATATCATCACACTGATTGGAGTCAAGGTTGGCTCACTCCTGGCTCCAATTAGCTCTGGGAGAAGTCATTAAGCTAGGGCCTCACATACTTTTTCCTCCCTGCACTGTGAATGTTTACATGTTATGTGCAATTAAAACATGGCAACATCTAATGTTTGTGTAGTATTATGTTTAGCAGACTGTGTTCTTCTATTGTTGTGACTTAGATGACGTTCAGAGCACATTTTATGCCCAATTCATGCAAAACTCCACGAAATTCCAAGGGGTTCACATACTTTTTCTTGCAACTGTATATATTGTACATTCACATCAGTCCCTAACCCTCAAGGGGCGTACAATCTAAGGTTCCTATTACAGGGGCGGACTGACCATTTGGATACTCAGGCACTGCCCGAGGGCCCAGGGTCAGTAGGGGGCCCCATAAGATGCCCCTGGTACCTTTTTCATAGGGTTTTTTGAATTTGGGCAAGGACACAGGGGCCCCATGATCCCCTATTGCCCGGGGACCCCATGAGTTGTCAGTCCGCCCCTGGTCCCTAACATACATTCATACATACACATACTAGAGACAATTTAGACAGGAGCCAATTAACCTACCAGCATGTCTTTGGAGTGTGGGAGGAAACCGGAGTAACCCCATGAAGGCATAGGGAGAACATGCAAACTCCAGGCAGGTGGTGCCGTGGTTGGGATTCAAACCAACGACCTGAGTACTGCCAGGCGGAAGTGCTAACCATTGAGCCACTGTGCTGCCCGTGTTCCATTTATATCACCTGTCACATGTAGTTCCAGACACCGAGCAGGTAGTTCTTTTAACCTTTAGCCCTGCTGTGGGCAAGCAGCAGGTTAGTGGGTTAATTGGTCGGCCGTTTTTCAGGTTTTTTGCAGTATTTTTAATAGTCATGTTGGAAAATTTGTGGCCGATTTGGACGATCGGCCAATTTTTCCCGGCAATGAAGAAGAAGAAGAAGACTAAAGTGAATCGATCATAGGAATGGGAGACACCTGAATCCTTCCTACGAACTGGAATCAGGGGCGGACTGACCATTTGGAAACTCGGGCACTGCCCGAGGGCCCGGGGTCAGTAGGGGGCCCCATGAGATGCCCCTGGTACCTTTTTCATAGGCTTTTATGAGTTTGGGCAAGGACACAGGGGCCCCATGATCCCCTATTGCCCGGGGGCCCCATGATCCCCTATTGCCTGGGGGCTCCATGAGTTGTCAGTCCGCCCCTGACTGGAAGTCTAGTCCACTATTATATTTTATATGAAAAAGTCTTGCGGTTGCAACAAATGTATCCATTTGTATCCAAATAAAAACATAATGTATTTGTATTGTTGTCACATTGTATGCTGTGCTCCCCTGTCTCTGGCAAACTGGTTTCTTGTCCCATTCTTTCGTAAGCATTGGTGGCAGCATCGGCAATGGTGCTGACCGATTTTTCGTTTATCGGCCGACAAATGGCCCATCTATGGCCTGGATAAGGGGCTGATTTACTCATCCAATCGTGCAAAAATGCTTTTTTGTTTTTATTTTGCTTGCATGTGATTGGGTATTCTTTGCAAAATGAAGCTTTACCTAATTTGCTTGCAAAGTGCACAGTCTATTTGCCTGTAAATGAGCCCCATGGGTTTGATTTACTAAGGGCCGGTTCACGCTATAGAAACGCAGTCCAGATGCGTTCCGCTTGTGTTTCTGTATGCGTGTTTTTTGACGCGTTCCGGTGCATTTTTATGCGTTTTTGATGCGTTCAAGTGCATTTTGATGGTTTCCGGTGCGTTTTATGCATTTTTTACGCATTCCAGTGCGTTTTTTATGTATTCCAGTTCATTTTTTCTTCTCTCTTTTTCTTCAATTTAAATAGGGACATGTACGTTGCGATGCATTTTTTATGCATTTTTGATGTGTTCCAGTGATTTTGATGCTTTCCGGTGCGTTTTATGCATTTTTTACGCATTCCAGTGCGATTTTTATGCATTCCAGTTAATTTTTTCTCCTCTCTTTTTCTTCAGTTTAAATAGGGGCATGTGCGTTCTGGTGCATTTTGTATGCGTTTTTGATGCGTTCCAGTGCATTTTGATGCTTTCCGGTGCTTTTTATGTATTTTTTTTACGCATTCCAGTGTGTTTTTTATGCATTCCAGTTCATTTTTTTTCTTCTCCCTTTTTCTTCAATTTAAATAGGGACACGTGCATTCCGGTGCATTTTTTATGCGTTTTTGATGCGTTCCAGTGCGTTTTATGCATTTTTTACACAGTCCAGTTAATTTTTTCTTCTCTCTTTTTCTTCAATTTAAATAGGGACATGTGCGTTTCGGTGCATTTTAAATGCGTTTTTGATGCGTTCCAGTGATTTTGATGCTGTCCGGTGCGTTTTATGCATTTGTTACACATTCCAGTTAATTTTTTTCTCCTTTTTTCTTCAATTTAAATAGGGACATGTGCGTTTTGGTGCATTTTTTACGTGCTTTTGTTGCGTTCCAGTGCATTTGTTATGCATTTCGGTGCGTTTTATGCATTTTTTACGCATTCCAGTGTGTTTTTTTTTATGCATTCCAGTTCATTTTTTCTTCTCTCTTTTTCTTCAATTTAAATAGGGACATTTGCATTCCAGTGTGCATTTTTTACGCATTCCGGTGCGTTTTATGCATTTTTTTACGTATTCCAGTGTGTTTTTTATGCAGTCCAGTTCATTTTTTCTTCTCTCTTTTTCTTCAATTTAAATAGGGACATGTGCGTTCTGGTGCATTTTTTATACAATTTTGATGCGTTCCAGTGCATTTTGATGCCCCCTGGTGCGTTTTAAGCATTTTTTACGCATTCCAGTTGTGTTTTTTATGCATTCCCGTTCATTTTTTCCCCTCTCTTTTTCTTCAAATTAAATAGGGACATGTGCGTTCCAGTGCATTTTTTATGCGTTTTGATGCGTTCCAGTGCGTTTTTGATGCATTTTACCACATTTCAGTACAGTTCTGTGCAGAAAAAATGCAGCCTGTTCTTTTTTTTTCTGCAACCGGAACACACTGGAACTGCAAGCACTGATGTGAACTATGACATTGACGACCATATCACCTACTTTCTGTGCGTTTTGGATGCAGAAACAAAGCAACTGAAACGCATGCAGTGTGAACTGGCCCTAAGCCCGGGTTCACACTTCTGTGGTGCAGCACATGACGTGAGTCGCACAGGAACCGCACCGCATTCCTGTGCAAATCATATGCAAATTTTTGTGTGGTACAATTTGAGCCATACATACAAACAAAATAAATAAACATGAGAATGCCTAAACATTTGTAATTGTAACAGTTTTCTGGGCAAAATGGTGCATTATCTGACAGACATTCAAATTTCAAAAAGAATAGCATAGAATAGAAAATAAAAGAATAGAAAAGAATAGAATAAATTTGAAACAATAGAATCAATTAGTATAGAATAGAATAATACAGAAAGAATATATATATCTTCCAAAGTTCAAATTTTCAAATTCATTCATTTGAATAAAATAGTTACAGCTATTCTTCACAATAAATTTGTATATTGATATTTTCAATTCAAATTCGATTCAAAGCCTTTTGAAATTCAAATATCAAAAAAAAGAATAGAAAGAAGTAGAATAGAACATTTTCCATTTTCTATTCTATTCCTTTATTTTCTGTTCTATTCTTTTATTTACTTTTCTATTTTATTCTGTTCTTTTCTATTCTATTCTATTTTATTCCATTCTAATCTTTTCAATATTCAAATTTCTGAAGGAGGCTATTTTCTTCTATTCTAATGTATTCTTTTTTTTTTCTATTCTATTTTTTTCTATGCTATTCTTTTCTATTCTAGTCTGCTCCTTTAGTTTCTATTCTATTTTATTTTATTATTTTCTGTTCTATTCTATTTTGTTCTATTCTGTTTTTTTTTATTCAAATGTTGGCTATATTCTTTCTATTTTATTCCATTCTATTCTATTAGAATTTTCAAAATTCACATTTTGGTAGACAGCTATGTTCTTTCTATTCTATTCTGCTCTTTTATTTTCTATTCTATTCTTTTATTTTCCATTTATTCTATTCTTTTTTGAAATTCGAATTTTGGAAGACAGCTATATTCTTTCTATTTTATTCCATTTTAAATTTGAAATTCTGTTCAAATTTTGAAATTCAAATTTCGGAAGATGGCTATATTCTTTCTATCCTATTTTTTTCTATTCTATTTTGTTCTATTCTACTCTTTTCTATTCCTTTTAGTTTCTATTCTATTCTATTCTTTATTTTCTATTTCTTTCTGTTTTATTCTATTCTTTTCTAAAGTCGAATTTTGGAAGATGACTACATTCGAACACTAATACACAAAGTCTTTAAAGGAAATCAGCAGTAGTCTGCAATATGTTTACAGTTCAGATTTGTTTTCGGATTTTATTTCAAATTCTTGTAGAATTCAATTCAAATTTTGGACGAAATTTAGTTTCCTTATTTCAGATTCGTTTAACCACCTTCCACCCGTCCTATAGTCCAATGGCGGGCGCAAGGTGGTTCTCTCGTTCTGATAGGACGTCATATGACGTCCTCCCATTCTCACTGCGCATGCGCGGCTCAGGGAGCGCGCAGCGTGGCAATCGCCGGTGCGCTGTGTCCCTCGGACACAGCGGATCACGGAAAGAGCCAAAGATGTCGGCTCGGTCATGTGATCTTCTGTGTCCAATCACAGCTGATCACATGTAAACACAGAAATGCCGGTTACCGGCATTTCTCTCCTCTCGAGCTGTCACGCTGAGAGAGGAGAGCCGGTAATCGGCTTTCCGCAGAGGGGACATGTACACTGATCATCAGGGCACTGATGATCAGTGTGCCCTGATGATCAGTGTGACCCCAGAAGTGCCACCTGTCAGTGCTCATCAGTGCCACGTGCCAGTGCCCATCAGTGCCACGTGCCAGTGCCCATCATTGCCACATCAATGCCACATACCAGTGCACATCAATGCCACATATCAGTGCCCATCTGAGCTGCCTTTCAATGTCACCCATCAGTGCTAGTCAGTGCCACCTATCAATGCCAATCAGTGCCACCTATCAGTGCTGCCAATCAGTGCCACCTATCAGTGCCAGTCAGTGTCGCCTATCAGTGCACATCAGTGCCAGTCAGTGTCGCCTATCAGAGCCAGTCAGTGCCGCCTATCAGTGCCAGTCAGTGCTGCCTATCAGTGCCATATATCAGTGTCATGTATCAGTGCTGCCTTTCAGTGCCCATCAGTGATGCCTGTCAATGCCCATCAGTGCAACCTACCAGTGCCTCCTCATCAGTGCCCATCAGTGCCACCTATCAGTGTCCATCAGTGCCACCTATCGGTGCCCATCACTGCAGCCTCATTAGCGCACATCAGTGAAGGAGAAAAATCACTTATTTACAAAATTGTATAACAAAAACTAAGAAAAAACGTTTTTTTTTTCAAAATTTTCAGTGGTTTTTGGTTTGTATAAGAAAAAAATAAATATCCCCGAGGTGTTTAAATACCACCAAAATAAAGCTTTATCTGTCTCAAAAAAATGATAAAAATGTCATATGGGTACCGTGTTGCATGACCTCGCAATTGTCATTCAAAGTGTGACATCGCTGAAAGCTGGAAATTGGCCTGGGCAGGAAGGGGGTAGAAGTGCCCTGTAGGGGAGGGGTTAAATTAGTTGCTGCTGTAATTCTCAAATTCAGATACATCCAGATTTCTGAATAAGGAAAATTTCATCTGAATTTAGATTTGGAACTAAACGAATCGCACATGTCCATTGCGCACCTGTACCTTCCAACCACACTTCGTCACCAATTTAATATCGCATGATTTGCGTACAATTTCAGCGCAATTTCTGAAGACTTTATTGCTACTTGTAAAGATTTTCAATGATTTCTTGCAATTTGCAGTGCGATATCCATTCTATTCTATGTATGTGAAATTGCAATAAAACTGCAGAAAAAGTCATGCAAGAACTACTTAGGGGAACGTTCACACTTGACTGTTTTACCAACGCTCGCCAAACGCCCCTATATAGTGTTTGGCAAGCGTTGGTCCGGCGTTTGTGGAGCATTCTTTAATGCTCCGCAAACACTGCATGCGCGGTTTAGCGGTGGTTGCTAGGCGTTTGCCGAGCGTTAAAAATGCCCCACAAAAGCCTATAATGAAGTTTGAATGGTGTTACCGCTCTGCAAACGCCCCGCAAACGCTGGCCGGGCATTTGCGGAGCGGCACCATAGACTAGAATAGGAGGCTTCAACTCCTCCTGACTTGACCAGAGCCGACCGTTTTGCCGCGACGGGATGCTAACGCTCCCGTTAGGACAGCACCATGTGCTGCAATGTGCAGAATTGTCCAAGGCATTTAGGAAGCGGTAAAAACACTTCCCAAACGCCTCTCTGCCGCCTGCACACAACGCTAGTGTGAACGTAGCCTTAGAAATCACGCTGCAGCAAATCGCAAATGTTAACACACTGACATTCACATTCATTAGATGCGATTTCAGGTGTGATTTCAATTATCAAATCACACCTGAAATCGCACCGGTGTGACCAGGCACTTAAAGGCATAGTTCATATGTAAAGTGTTACTAAACCCCGGTCCCTGAATTCACTATATCCGCTCTCCCCGGACCCTGCATTCACTATATCTGATCTCCCCGGACCCTGCATTCACTATATCCGGTCTCCTCGGACCCTGCATTCACTATATACGCTCTCCCCGGACCCTGCATTCACTATATCCGCTCTCCCCGGACCCTGCATTCACTATATCTCTTCTCCCCGGACCCTGCATTCACTATATCCGCTCTCCCCGGACCCTGCATTCACTATATCCGCTCTCCCCGGACCCTGCATTCACTATATCGGTCTCCCCGGACCCTGCATTCACTATATCTGGTCTCCCCGGACCCTGCATTCACTGTATCTGGTCTCCCTGGACCCTGCATTCACTATATCCGCTCTCCCAGGACCCTGCATTCACTATATCTGGTCTCCCTGGATCCTGCATTCACTATATCCGCTCTCCCAGGACCCTGCATTCCCTATATCCGCTCTCCCCGGACCCTGCATTCACTATATCTGGTCTCCCCGGACCCTGCATTCACTATATCTGGTCTCCCCGGACCCTGCATTCACTGTATCTGGTCTCCCTGGACCCTGCATTCACTATATCCGCTCTCTTCGGACCCTGCATTCACTATATCCGCTCTCCCCGGACCCTGCATTCACTATATCCGCTCTCCCCGGACCCTGCATTCACTATATCCGCTCTCCCCGGACCCTGCATTCACTATATCCGCTCTCCCCAGACCCTGCATTCACTATATCTGATCTCCCCAGACCCTGCATTCACTATATCTGGTCTCCCCGGACCCTGCATTCACTATATCCGCTCTCCCCGGACCCTGCATTCACTATATCCGCTCTCCCCGGACCCTGCATTCACTATATCCGCTCTCCCCGGACCCTGCATTCACTATATCCGCTCTCCCCGGACCCTGCATTCACTATATCCGGTCTCCCCGGACCCTGCATTCACTATATCTGATCTCTCCCAGACCCTGCATTCACTATACCTGGTCTCCCCGGACCCTGCATTCACTGTATCTGGTCTCCCCAGACCCTGCATTCACTATATCCGGTCTCCCCGGACCCTGCATTCACTATATCTGGTCTCCACGGACCCTGCAGTCAGGCAAGTACGGTTCTCCTGGTAAATGCCAGACACGTCCATCGGATTGCCAGACAGAGAAGCGTGATTGGTCACTCCAGAGAACACGTCTCCACTGCTCTAGAGTCCAGTGGCGGCGTGCTTTACACCACTGCATCTGACGTTTTGCATTGCACTTGGTGATGTAAGGCTTGGATGCAGCTGCTCGGCCATGGAAACCCATTCCATGATGCTCTCTACTGCACACTGTTGTTGTGCTAATCTGAAGGCCACATGGAGTTTGGAGGTCTTTAGCTATTGACTCTGCAGACAGTTGGTGACTTCTGCGCACTGTGCGCTTCAGCATGCGCTGACCCCGCCCTGTCATGTGACGTGACCTACCGCTTGGTGGCTGAGTTGCTGTTGTTCCCAGTTGCTTCCACTTTGTTATAATCCCACTAACAGTTGACCGTGGAATATTTAGTAGCCAGGAAATGTCACGGATGGACTTATTGCACAGGTGACAACCTATCACGGGACCACGCTTGGAGTCACTGAGCTCCTGAGAGCGACCCATTCTTTCACCAATGTTTGTAGAAGCAGTCTGCATGCCTAGGTGATGATTTTATACATCTGTGGCCATGGAGGTGATTGGAACACCTGAATCACATGATTTGGGGAGTGTCCCAATACTTTTGGCAATATAGTGTACATAGGCTGCCGGCAGCAGGGCACCACTGCCCCTCACCTTTCACCCAACTGAACTGAGTGAAAGTTGTGTGGATACATATTTTAGAAACCTTATTGGATGCTCGGGGGGGCCCAAATTACTAATTGGGGACCATTTATTGGCTAACTAGACCGTAGTGCAGGGGCGGACTGACCATTTGGAAACTCGGGCACTGCCTGAGGGCCCCGGGTCAGTAGGGGGCCCCATGAGATGCCCCTGGTACCTTTCATAGGCTTTTTTGAGTTTGGGCAAGGACACAGGGGCCCCATGATCCCCTATTGCCCGGGGGCCCCATGAGTTTTCAGTCCGCTCCTGCTGTAGTGCCAGCGTTGGAGGCAGTTCGGCCTGTACCTCAGGTTGGAGGCAGTTGGAGGCAGTTCAGCCTGTACCTCAGGTTGGAGGCAGTTCAGGTTCAGGTACCTCAGGTTGGAGGCAGTTCGGAGTTGGAGGCAGTTCGGCCTGTGCCTCAGGTAGTGTTTGCATTATAACGTACAATGTACTTATGTTTTCACCTGATTTGTTAGTGAAAGTTGTGTGAATACATATTTGAGAACGTTTTTCAGGATGTTCAGGAGTTCTAATTGACTCATTTGAGGACCATTTGTTGGCTGACTAGATTGACTGTAGTGCCAACTTCGGAGGACGGCCAGCCTCTATGCAATGTTTGCATTATAACACACAAAATATTTATGCTTTCACCTCAACTTTCACCCAATTGAATTCTGATTGAAAGTTGTGTGAATACTTATTTGGGAAAGGTTATTGGGATGTTTAATGGGCCTAAATGACTCATTTGGGGACCATTTATCTACGAATTAGACTGTAGTGCCAGCGTTGGAGGCAGGCCGGCCTCTACCTCAGGTAGTGTTTACATTATACCACACATGTGCTTATGTTTTCACCTCATCTTTAGCCCAGTTGAATTCTGGGTGAAAGTGGTGTGAATACATATTATGAAAAGTTTATTGGATGTTCAGGGGCCCTAAATTACTAGTTTGGGGAACATTTATTTGCTGATTAGAGTGTAGTGCCAGCTTTGGAGGCAGTCCGGCCTCTACCTCAGGCAACATTTGCACTATAAGACATTTATGTTTTCACCTCAACTTTCACCCAATTGGATACTAAGTGAAAGTTGTGTTAGTACTTGCATGTGCTCATCCTTATTACTTACAGTAGTGGCGGCGGGCCGGCCTCTACCTCAGGGCAATGTTTGCATTATAACACGTAATGTACTTATGTTTCCACCTCAACTTTCACCCAATGAAATCATGAGTGAAAGTTGTGTGAATACATTTATAAATGAACCTCTGTGCAGTAACCCTTCATTGTACCATGCAATGTACCTCAGGGCAATGCATTATAACACATAATGTACTTATGTTTTCACCTCAACTTTCACCCACTTGGATTCTGAGTGAAAGCTGTGTGCATATATTTATAAATGGAGTAACCCTTCATCTTCCCAGGCAAAGTATGACTGTTTTCACCTCAGCTTTCACCCATTTGGATACTAACAGCTGTGTAGCTGTGTGAATACCTTTATAAATGTAGTAACCCTTCTTCGTCCCAGGGAAAGTATGAATGTTTTCATCTCAACTTTCACCCAACTGGATTCTGAGTGAAAACTGTTAATAAATTTGTAAATGGAGTAACCCTTCATCATCCCAGGCAAAGTATTAATGTGTTTTCACCTCAGCATTCACCCAACTGGATTCTGAGTGAAAGCTGTGTTAATACATTTATAAAATGGAGCAACTCTTCATTGGCTCAGGCAAAGTATGAATGTTTTTACCTCAGCTTTCACCGATTCTGAGTGAAAGCTGTGTGAATAC